ACGAATTCGCTATATATCGATTACTATCACGATCGTGTGTAATTGGCAGGGGTGATTGGTATCGATATATAATTACCTAGCTAGTAATCGATATATATTTTTTGCTGATGATAGATATACAAATTATAAATTATCATAATTAGCATTATAAGTTTTAGTTCTGATTGGTTAATTACCAAATTAACCAATCATATGATAGTTCTAAATCACATAATAAGGTATGTCTTTTGGTTAAAGAGCATGCCTAGACATGCCCCAACTCTAGTATATAAACATAAACAATATCTTAAAACTTTGAGTGTATATATTATAAAAACATAAATAATTAATATCTTGTTCAGATAGTTATATAGTTAAATAAAAAAAAATAAAAAAAAATTTAAGTTTATTTTCTAAATAAATAGCCAAAAAAGTTAAACATTACATAATGCCTATTAATGCTGTATAACTTTTCTTATAGTATATAGTATATATGGTATACATCATATTATTATCAACAACCAATCAAATTGCAGAAGATAACTTTACAGCTATGAAAATGACTTAAAATTTGCAAATACAGTTCAAAGTATCAACTATATAATGATCTAATCCAAATAAACAATTTCTTAAGTTAGAGTTCTCTAGGCTCTACATAATAAGTTTATTTTATAAATAATAGCCAAAAAGGTTAAACATCGCATAAATCTTATTATACTATAGTATATAGTATATATAGTATACATCACATTATTATCAACAGCCAATCAAATTGCAAAGGACAGAAACACAACCAAATCTTAGTAGTATAGATTAGAAGCTTATGTTTGCTAAACCAAAAATTGGCTTTAGCCGATTTTTTCATTATTGACAAGATCACTACTTTCAAGGACTTCTTTTGAAATTTGCTAAAAAATAAAAGTATCAATTTATATGTAGACAAAAATTTTCATAACTTCGTTCAATTGATAAAAATGGTTTAGGATCTACCAGATTCAAATATAGTTCATCACATATTTCATTAAATTGAGTTTTTAAATTTTGCAAGCGTTCAGAATCTTCCTTTGACGGCGCAAGTGTTGTCGGCTGTCTATTTTGGCTGACGAAGAGAGACGCGTTCGAGTATTATAAAAATGGCGCATGCCAATTTTCAGTAGCAAAAGGAAAAATAAATAGTTTACACTCGTTGCCCTTGTTTCATTCTTATTTCAAGCATATTACCAGCGTGACTGTATACCGCCTAGAATACAATTTATTTTAGAAGCGACGAAAGTCGAAAACAGGAATAACATAAAAAAGATCATACAAACGTTCAGTGTCGTTCTAAGCGATTGAAGCTTTGATTCGAGATCTGACATGGTGCTTTTAGAAGACATTTCAGTTGAATGAAAGTATGTTTAGTTCTAAAATTCAAACATGCAGCACAATGGAAATTCGATTTGATTGGTTAATTAATTAATAAACGACTATATCAGATATATATTTCTGTGCTGGCGGCAGATCCTCGATTTTGATTGGCTATGAGCGACGATCAAAAAATTAGGCCGGAATTACTCATAATTTGCAGCCGCCCGGTGTAGCAAGTCCACGTGATTGATTTGGACTAAGCGCCTTATGTCCAATAGAAAAATATGGACAATATGGTCATATTATCCATGTCCATATTCTGCCAACACTGCTATTGAAATAAATTAGTAATCAGATTTTATTAAATGTAAAGGTTTTTGTACATATTAACTTTTATAATACTAACGCTAAATTAATTTAATTAAATTTACATCGCTACTCGGACACACATTAACCTAATTTAAGATAGTTTCAACCGGGTGGATCAGGTATCCGGGTTGAGAGTTGACCCGTGGGTTGATATGCACGCATTTTGATCATCGAGTACTGGTACGTACTGTACGTTGTTGAGAAGGGAATTTATATGGCTGTTAATTAAAATAAAACGTGATTAATAAAATTGCATAAAAAATATTTAGAATTAATGGAAAATGAAATATTTGATTTGTTTATTTGACTATTTTTTCATATACCTTAGTTTGCAGGTAAACTTAAATTTATTAAAAATTTATCATAGCATAGTTTGATCAGCCATTTGCTATAATTGTATAACCATTAGGGATGGAAAATTACTGTAATTTTACGAAATTTTGTGTAATCTTCTGAAATCAAAATTACGAACATAATAATGGATATCTATTAGCGCTGGCTAAACTTTTATAATATCGGTAAAATTATCATGTGACAATGCGCTATTCAATGTAAAGTTACATTACAATTTCGTAAGTTACAATGTAATTTACATGAAACGTAACAAAGTAATTTATGT